AAGTCAGAGACCCTTATCTCCAATTAACTATTTAAAAAAGCAAAACTGAAGGTGTGGCTCAAGTAGTAAAGTACCAGCTGTGAGCAAAAACGCTGAGCAAGAGCATGAGGCCCTGAGTTCAAGCCCAATAACCAGCAGGCATGTGTGCGCATGCGTGCACACACACACACACACACACACACACACACACACACACACACACACACACACAGCTGTTATCAACCCCACAGAAGGGGGCTGGGGGTAGGGTAGGAATGGAGAATTTCTTACAGTTTAGACTCCAACACAGTGTGGCAGGAGTTCTGATATATTTCAGGTTGAGGTTAGAATTTTTTTTTTTCCCTGTGCTGGTTCTGGGACTTGAACTCAGTGCCTGGGCGCTATCCCTGAACCGTTTTTTCTTAAGGCTAGTGCTCTACTACTTGAGCTACGGATTCACTTCTGACTTTAGCCAGGATTATAAATATGAACCACAGGTGCTGGGCTGAGATTCAAAGCAGTAGACCTAGATCTTCTCCTATCCAACTCAGCCTCATTTTACCTCTGTCCTGGCTCCCTCCCAGTGTGTAACACACACACACACACACACACACACACACACACACACACGAGTGCAACTTAGAAGTGAGGAGAGGCGAGTCCCACGGGGACTTGAAGTCCACCTGCAGAGATCAGGGAATCACCCGTGGAGTAGTGAGGAAGGCTGGGAGAGGAGCACTGGGCGGGAGAGCACTGGACACCGGGTACCACTGCCATGATCTAGAGGCAGAAGGAGCCAGGAGCCTGAGATCAAGTCGTAAAGGTTGGCCGAGGGTCCCAGAGAAACTGAACTGGAAGAGAGAAGCCCCAGGGCCACCTGAAACTCCTGGCCTCAGAGAGGCAGAGCAGCGGGCAGAGCTGAGACCTGAGAAGCTGATGGCTGGAGAAACATCTGGCCTTAACTTCCCAGGTTTGGTGGTGTGAGGGTCTGGGGACCCTGGTCCAGGGCCTTCCAGCTCTGGTGTCTGAAGATTCCCTGGGTCCTTCCTGCCTGCCAGCCTTTTGGCTGGAGGGGAGACAGGGAGGCAGTCCAGGCCGGTCCCCTTCCCTCTGAACTCGGGCCTTCCCGCATCCTGGGCTAAATGAAGGAGAGTGGGTGCGATCCTTGTAGGTCACCTCCCAGGCCCTCTGCCCAGGGGTCCAGTTTTTCTCACAGAGCTTCTTCAGGAGGCCATTATCTCGGCCCAGGCTACGTCAGCTCAAGTTCAAGGTCAGGGAAGTGGAGTATGTGGGGGCAGAGGAGAGGGTTTTGTAGTCCCTGCCCTCTGCCCACAGAGCAGAGCCCTAATAAGAAGCAATGAAGGGAAGCATAAATCCAGCAGAGCCGCACCGTTCCCCCCTCCCCCCGCCCTGTGAAGAGTGAGGAGGGTGGGGGTGTCTCCAGAGACCAGAGATTGCCTGGGGGCTGCTCTAAACAGGGCCCCCAATCCTACCTTTCTCCATGTTAATAGTAAACCCAAGGAGATTCAGGTACCAGGAGGTCTGGGGTAGTCGAGGGTGGAGGGAGGGAAGGCCGGGCAGCAGTAAAACCCTGTTTGGTGCTGCTTTAAACCTGGCATGGATTCATTCCTGGCACCAGTGTTTACCAGGAAACTCTCACTAAGGCCCCTGCCGGAAAAAGGTAATAAAAGGTAGAAACTGAGTGCTGTGTTTGGGAGCCAAGGATGTTTGGGCAGGTCCTGCTGCTGTTCATAAAAAGCAAATGGAACCAGCGCCGGTGGCTCACGCCTTTATAGGCCTAGCTACTCAGGAGGCTGAGCTATGAGGATCGTGGTTCAAAGCCAGCTGGGCAGGAAAAGCCCGTGAAATTCTTATCTCTCATTAACCACCCAAGAGGTGGAAGTGGAGATGTAGCCCAAGTGGTAGAGTGCCAACCTTGAGTAAAGAAATTTAGGGACAGTGCCCAGGGTCTGAGTTCAAGTTCCAGTACACACACACACACACACACACACACACACACACACACACACACACACACACACACACACACACACACACACACACGGAAGCAGGAGAAAGGAAAAATGGAAGCCAATTCCTTCCAGTAGTCCTCCCTTCCCACCTGGCTTTGCTCCACGCTTTGCTCCCCAGCCCTGAAGGACCCCAGCTGGCTTCTCTGAGGAATTTGTTAATCAGACAGAGACACCGAGCCCTGCAGAGGCCTTGAAGGGAAAGAAAGACCCAGGGTGGAGTTTAATAACTGCTTGGGGCTGCCTTGTGTGGGGAGAAGGATGGACTAAAGGAAGGACGGATTATCAGAGCTCTGGGGTCTGGGGGAGTTGGAGTCAGCGCTGAGGACGGGTGGAAGGGGAGTGTGAGGGGGAGAATGGGGACCTTGGAGGATGGCGGGGTGAGCCCGACCTGACACCCCTTGAAAAGGTGAACCAGGGAGCTGGAGGCAGTCCACACAGGTCTGGTTTGCTGCAGGGGCCAGGGGTAGGGAGGATGGGCAGGGACCTGGGAGTTTGCCCAGAGAATCACAGCAGGCTCCCCAAATGAGGCGCACCCCAGGTGTTAGGGTCAGACTGTACCCTGAAGCATGAGAGCCAGTAACCTAAGGAACTACTTTCCCCGACCTGACACTGAGGGTCTGTTTAAACAAAAAAAGCTTCAAACCCGGGTGCCATGGTTAAAGCCTGTCACTCTAGCTAAGACTTGGGAGGCAGAGATCCGGAGGAACATGGTTCAAGGCCAGCTTGGGCAAAAAGTTTGCAAGATTCCATCTCAGCCCTCCCAGCCTCCAGGTGCCCCTCCCCCAACCCCCCCTCCCCCAGTCCAAGAGCAGGTTCAAAGTTAGACTGAAGCCACATAAAACCAAAGACCCCTGCTGTCCCACAGAGACCCCCATCCTTTTCCCCAAGACATAGAGGCAAGAACAGGAAAGCCCAGAGCCTCGCAGGGAGCCGCTGTGGGCAGCTGTTGACTGAAGCAGCTAGAACAGAGATCTTGGTCTAGTGAGGGCTGACAGGGCCTGGAATGCAGTTGGCGGTCCTGCACCACATGTAAGGTCACACAACACACGCATACGAACATGCGTGCAGTTTCTCGTATTTCCTCTCTTACCACCCCCACCCCCATGCACAGACATGGCTGCCTTGAAAGCAGAGAACTCAGATCACTGTCCTGCTCCTGAAGGCAGCAGTCCCCCAAGCCCCCTCCCCAGACACACTCAGGCTGTTTGGAGACGAAATGCCCTTCCGGGTGCCCACAGCGTCATGGTGACAAGCTATGACACGCGCTCACAGCTGCATACATGAGCTGAGAAATCCTGGAGGGCCGTTTCAAGGGTAAAGATGGGGGTGGGGCAGGTTGTTCAGTTCCCATGGCAGCCTATCACGTTGCTATAGCAACACAGCTCTGCCTCCATCCTGTGGAGTTCCCGGTTAGGTAATGTGTGGAACACTGGTGCTTCCCTGGAAGGGGGGGGGGGCGGGGGTTGTGTGGACCCTACCATCCCCTTGGGAAAGGGCATCTCCACCCTAGATAATGCAGCAATGGCGGGGGACCCTGAGGTTGTCAAACAGGGCTGAGTTGTCTTGTGAGCCAGATGGTAGTTGTCTAATGACAAGTTCTACTTTTTGTGCGGGGGGTGGTCCGGTCGTGGGGCCTGAACTCTGGGCCTGGGCGCTGTCCCTCAGCTCTTCAGCTCAAGGCTAGCACTCTACTACTTGAGCCACAGCGCCACTTCCGGCTTTTTTTTCTTTTTGCTTATGTGGTGCTGAGGAATCGAACCCAGGGCCTCACGCATGCAAGGCAAGCGCTCTACCACTGAGCCACCTTCCCAGCCCGACAAGTTCTACTTTTGCCTAGCAAAATTTCTTTTCCCCAGCTACTGGACCCCCCAGGAATGTAGCCCACTGACGAAGCTGACTTGCCCTTTCTTGATCTGCACCCCAGGAGATTCAAGGCGCCAGCCTGTCACTTGAGAGGCCTGAGCATGCAACCGTGACCGCGACAGTGGACGGAGAGCTACGGGGCTTGCCAGCCATTGCTTCTGTGTCTCTAGGGAGCCATATTTCTTTTCAGACCTCAATGTTCTGCCTTTGAAGGGGGGGGGGGATAACTGTCCGTCATGGCAGGGAGAGGGGAAGGGTGTTCTAACAAGAGTGACGGGAAGCAACAGCATGCACTACTAGACCATCCTGGGCTTCCCTGGAGGAGCCCTGTCCACCGTGGCTGCTCCTTGTACTCGGTGGCTGGGGCATTCGGCCCAATTGCAACACCGGATGATAGTTCAGCCTTGGTGAACAGGGCAGTAGAGCTTAGCATCGTCTTCCAGGTCCCGCTGCCCAAGTGGCTCCTTGATAATTAAGGGGAAGGTACTTAACGGGGCTGCTCCCCCACCCATTTTTCTAGCATAAAATCAAAGTGTGGGTTGAGCCTGGCTGAGAGTCAAAGCATTTCACGGAAATGTGGTGCTGTTCAAATATTCAAACTGCCTTCCAGCGGGGCTCCTCCGTCCTTTGAAAGTTTTTCATGCTGTCAGAGAAGGAAAGCATGGTGGTTGTCCCCGAGCCCCAGCAGAGCGCGGGAAGCAGCCTGGCTCTGCAGCCTCTCTAGTTGGAGAGGCTCCGGCCTCCATCCCCCAGATACCTCACAGTTGGCAGAAGACCGCACTGTAGCTGCTTGCAAAAATTAGCCACAGCCAGCACGGGTGGCTCGCGCCTGTAATCCCAGCTACTCAGGAGGCTGAAATCTAAGGATGGGGACTTGAAGCCAGACTGGACAGAAAAGTCCCCAGGAGACTCATCTCCAATCAACCACTCAAGTGGTAGAGCGCTGGCCTTGCGCCCAGGCCCTGAGTTCAAGCCCCACCCTGACCAAATAATGATGATGATGATGATGAGCCACAAAGCACACGCCAGTGAATTGGCTGCATTTCTTCTTTTATTGCCCGTCCAGCCTCCGGGGTCCTGCAGTCCCCCAGACCCCAGCCCGAGTCCCCGGGGTGGGGTTGGAGCTCACGGTGAGCCCCTGCGGCTCCCGGGCGCCGCCAGCCGCTTCCCGTAGCGCAGGCCGAAGGAGTTCCAGTTGTAGGCCGCCAGGTCCTTCTCCCGCTGCACCAGCACCGCGCCCCGGGGCGCAGGGCTCGGCCGGCCGCGCGGGGCGCAAGGGCCGGGCCGCCGGGGTCCCGCGGAGCCCTGGCCCGGCGGGCACAGGGAGGCCTCCCGGGGGCTCAGCGCAGGCCGGGCCGGCTTGGCCTCTGCGCACCCCAGGCCTTGCTCCCAGGGACTTAGGAGGCCCGGCCGGTGGCCTAGGACAGAGAGAGCACGGGAAGGTGAGGCCAGGGTCTGGGTTGGGGGCAAGGGTCGGGGCTCGGGTCCCCCTCGGGCTTGTCCCTCTGAGAGGGGGTGACTCCATCCCCACCATCCTTCCAGGATGGGTGTTTGGGTCATTTGCTTTGGTTTCGAACCCTTTCTAGAATCATCCGAAAGAGCCTTGGTATTAAAACGACTTCCTTTTAGGAAGCAAACAGATTGGGATTTGGAAATCAAGGAAACCCACAGCGTTTAGGGGACGCACGGCTGGGGCCCTCTTCTGGGCCCATGCTTTGGCCTCTTGGCTCAGTCTCAGCAACCGGCCTCACCCCTTTGGGACTGGGAGCGCTGCTGGAGACCGGAGGGCCAGGCTCCACCATCGCGTGGCGTCCCAAATGCTTGAAGCTTGCACACAGTAGGGCCTCAACAAATGCTTCTTCAATATATAAACACAAATGAAAAAGTTGGACTAAAAGAAATCAAGAAAGTGGAGGCTGGGCACTGCAGTCCTAGATAGGAGGCTGAGATCTGAAGATCCTGGTTGGAAGCTAGCAGGGCCAGGTAGGTCCACGAAGCACTTACCTCCGATTAACCAGCAAAAAAAATAAAAACGAAGTGGAGCTGTGGCTCAAGTGGTAGAGCGCTAACATTGAGCAAAATAAATAAATAAATAAAGGAACAGTGCCGAGGTCTTGAATTCAAGTCCCAGGACAGACACGTATACGCACCAAAAAGAAAACATTAATAAAAAGTGTAACCAAGGCTAATGTGCTCTCCCATAACGGTGCTGCAGCCTGGTCCCTGATAAGGGTTGGCACCCACAAATAAGCTGTATTAGGGCTCAGTGAAGACCAGAAAATAACTAGGTCACCTTAACTGGCTCACCTCCCCTGCCACCCCAAGTGTAATTTCTCCCCTTGGTTCTGAAGGCTAACAAGGCTAATTTGGTATAAGGCACTTGACATGAAAGGCTCATTAAGTTCACTATACTTGTTGGCAGGAAAATAGGCTAGCTCCGAGTCGACAGTGAGTCCAGCCAGTTGTGTGCAAAAGGTGAGTGGGAATGAGGCCTGGTGTGTGAGCGGGTGTGTGCTGGGGGTGGAGGAGGGCCTTGGGCAGGCTCTTCACTGCCCTGGCTTGCTCTGGGGAAGAGAAGTATGGTCCGTCATGGCCCAGACTTCACAGTCTCCAGTCTCCACCCACCTTGCCCAGAGCCTGGCTGGGATTGGAGGATCCCAGTGACATCATGCAACAGCAGCAGGACCATTGGCCAGTGCTGGGTTATTCCCTGAGCAGCCCCTTTACCCTAGAAAGAAAGCACCAAGGAAGTGGCGCTGTAGCTCAAGTGGTAGAGCGCTCGCCTTGAGCTGAAGAGCTGAGGGACAGTGCCCAGGCCCAGAGTTCAAGTCCCACGACCGACAAAAAAAAAAAAGAAAGAAAGCACCAAGCGAAGAACACAGCAAGGGTGTGGGGGCGGGCACCGGGGTGCTCTCCTCAGGTATTGTATGGGCATGTGTGCAGAGGATATCCTGAGTTCCAGAGAGGTTAAGTACAGGTTCTAGACTGCCCAGAACGCTGATGGAGGAGGGTTCAAACCCTCACTGGGGCTTAAGGATCCACACTGTTGTGAACTCATGCTGCTCAGCACCTGTGCTCTTGGGGTGCTGTGGCCTCTGCTGTGATTCTGTGGTATGTGGCTGGGTGACTTGGGGGCTGTCTCTGGACCTGTCTGGGCTACTGTTTTGCCACTGAGCAGTTCCCCGGAGAATCTGTAAGATTGGCAGGCATCGAGCACTCTCCTTTGTGTTTAGGGGGTCTTCCCCCCGCCCCATGTTCCATATCTGAGGTAGCAGGTAAAAATAACTTGCATGCTGGGTGCCAGTGGCTCACGCCTGTAATCCTAACTACTCAGGAGGCTGAGACCTAGGGATCACAGTTTGAAGCCAGCCCAGGCAGGAAAGTCCAAGAGACTCTTATTTCCAATTAGCCATCAAAAAGACAAAAGTAGAGCTATGGCTCAAGAGGTAGAACGCCAGCCTTGAGCAAAAGAAGCTCAGGGACAGCACTCAGATGCTAACTTCAAGCTGCAGGACTGGCACACCCACACAAAAATAAATAGCTTGCATGAAAAATTGCCTTCCAACATCTGCACAGACGGCTGGTGCAGAGAATGTAGTGTATAGGACTTTGGTGGTACCGAGCATAGGTCAGGCTCTTGATGCGCATGAGCATCCCTCCTTTCCCTCTCCCTCCCCCACTCCATATGCTGTGCCCGCACAAGTGTCAGTCTAAGGTGCCAATCAAGCGTAATGCTAAACTCCTCCCAGCAGGCTAGCTACAGTTGAGAAACAGGGCAAAACTCATTCTGTAACCTCTCACCTGCCCCTTCCCCCACCTAGACAATGCCTACCTAGAGTTCTAGGATTCTCCACAGGGGCCACCTTTGCCAGCGGCTCCCCGAAGGAGGTGGCACAGAGGAAAAGCAGGAGCTTCCAAGGAAACAGGGAGCTCATCCTGGTGCGAAGCAGGTCCTAAAAGTTCCCTGAGACAGAGACAGAGAGAACGAGAGAACAAGAACTAGGTCAGGCACAGAGTCTGGGCTGGATGCAGGGGCCAGAGCCCAGTGCAAAAGGGAGAGCGTGGAAGGGAGGAGAAAGCTCTTGTCTAGGAGGGATGAGCTTGCAAAAATACAACAGGGAAACAGGAGCACCGTGTAGTCAGTGTAGAATTGATGCTAGGGGAAGCTTTTCAGGAGGGCTTCCTGGAGGAGGTGAGGACAGTAGTAGAGTCATAAGAAAAGAATGAAGGGATGGAGGGAGGGAGGGAAGGCAGGAAGGAGAGAGAGGGAGGGAGGGAAGGAGGGAAGGCCCTACTTTAGTAGAAGGGACAGGATTCCCAGGTTGGAGAAGGTCAGGATTCCTGGTTGCAGGTTTTCTTGAAGAGGCTACTGGAGAGAGAGGGATGAATGCTCTGTGGTGTGAGTGAAGGTCAAACATTTCCCTTGGAGCCTGAGCACAGACCCAGCTTTCCTTGTTCTGCATCCTTATCTTTTCTAGGAAAAAAAAAAAAAAAGGAAGACAGAGACAATCATCTTGCTCTCTCAGAGCCTTGAAGACTGTCATTAAATCGTCTTATTGCCTGTAGGTCAGGGACGAGAAGAGCCTTTCCCTGACTTAGCAGGTCAGTTGTCTCTAGTCTGCTCCCTGTGAGTGGGGGAAGGGACCGAGCTGGCTTCATCGTCTTGTTGTTGGAGTGGGAGCCGTGTGTTCCCTCCATCTTCTTCTGCTCCCTCGCTCTCCCCCACCCGCCTTCTCCCACACTTAAACCCAATTTCTCTTCAAAAGAGTCATCAGGCATTTGGAGATTGTCCAATAATTGTCCACGATTAAAGTCGGTCTTGGAGAGCAGGAGTGCTGCGGGCCCCCGCCCCTCCCCAGACCTCACTGGCCAGACCGCAAACTGAGGGAAAGCTCAGGTCTTATTTTGCAGATGACTCAGGGTATTTGATTCTGTGACACCCCGAAACCCAGACCTTGTCTGTAGCTGACTTAAGGCGGGGTAGAGGAATGGAGTAGAGGCACGGTTCATTCACTGGACTAGAACAGGCTCTGGGCGCCTGGGCACCAGGGTGCTTTGGCAGTCCTCTCCAGAGCATCACCTGGATGCCATGCCGCGGCACCTGGGTGCTAGCCAGGGCTGGGCTGCCCCCCTCCCCCCTCCCTCCACCCTTGGAGGAGCTGCGGGCCTCTTCCTGGAGCCATCCAAGCCAGGCAGAAGGCTCGGGCTGCCACTCTGGGCAGGGGGAGGTGGTGAGGGGCGTGGCAGGCTGGGTAGCTGCAGTGCTCACCTGGCTCTCCTCGCCTCCACTCCATGCTGGCCAGCACTTCTGCACCCCTCCTATGCAGTGTGCATCTCACACATACACACGTATGCAGACACCCCGCTCTACATACAACACACACTATATACACACCAACACACCATAACTACACATGCTGCACACACCACACCACATACCACATGTGCACGTACCTACTCAGGAGCCTGACATCTGAGATCGTGACTCCGAGCCAGCCCAAGCAGGAAAGTCCATGAGACTCTTCTCTCCAATTAACCGGCCAAAAGCCAGAAGTGGAGCTGTGGCCCAAGTGGCAGAGCCCTGGCCTTGAGTGAAAAAACTAAGGGACTGAACCCAGGCCCTGAGTTCAAGTCCCAGCACCAACACACACACATATACACATACACACTCATTCTCACGCATGCACACACACATGCACACACATACACAAAAGAACACAGAAAGCTTTTGAAGTAGAGCTGCTTCCTTTTGTGGCCCTGTTGGTCCCATGAGTCGGAGGGGTTCCCCAGATCTCTCCGAAAGCTTCTGATGCCTCAAACTCCAGCCAGCTTTTCCCCGTTGCATTTATTTTCTCCACAGCCCAGGAGAATCCTTGGAGTCCTCCATTCATAAACACAACCAAGCCCGCGTGGTCACCCTGCATCCCAGACGAACCCGGCCAGCCTGGAAGCGACCCCAGCTTCCTTACCTGGATGCTTAGGTCAGTGCTGGACGAAGTCAATGCTGGCTCCCAGAGCCCCTTGGGGCAGGGCAGGCCCCTCCCCAAGTGTGGATGCCCGGCACACTCACCTTGGCCCAGGCCTGTCCCTGCAGGAGCTCTGCAGAAATGCTGGGGTGAACACAAAGGGGAGGGCGCCGGCTCCTGGGCTCCTCACCGTCCCCGTCACAGCTTCTTTTATAAGACCAGGGTGACGTCTCCGGGAATGAGCCCACCTCTGCCCCTCACCCAGACCCTCCTCAAGAGCTCCACGCCCCGCCTCTGTCTGAGGGCTCTTGTGCCTGGGGCCAGCCTCCCCCTCTTCCAGAAGCCCGCCAAGGCTGGCCTTCTCTTCCCCACACATTCTCTCCATCCTCCTCCACCCTCTGCCACCCTGACCCACTCAGCCCGTGGCCTGTTCTGCACAGTGGAGGGGGCGGCCTCAGGGCGTGTGCGCGTGTGCGCGAGGGCACGTGCCCATGTGTGCTCGTGAAATGTGTTCCCTTTCAAACAAGAGTCACAGACACACCCCGTCGCAAGTGGTCAGGAAGAGGAGCTGGAGGAGGAGAGGGAAGGGCACAGTTTGACCCAGCAGCTTAGAGAAAACTAGGTCAGTTCAGGCCTCCCACGAGAAGGCAGCTCCTGGGCTGCGGTCTGGGATCTGGGAGACAAAGCGCGGTAGTGGGGCCTTTGCTTTTCCTTTCGAAACTTCTGTCCTCCCACAGCCACTGGCCATTTTTTCAGGCCTTTGAGACAAATATGACATGACACGATCAGATGGGAAAGATAGTTACGTAAGCCACTGCTGGGGAAGAATTAAATGG